CCGGGCCATTCTGAATCTGCCGTCTCGCTCTGTTTATTAAGGAACAGATAAATTTTCTTACTTTTGTGAAACGGGCTAAAAATTGTATGCTGTGTGCATGCTTGACAATCATTCTCTCAGGTTGGGAGGGCTACAGCTTTACCTTTGCCCATCTGTGACCGTGCGCGCATGTGTGTGAGTGTGTTTAAGAGTGTGAGTCTGTGTGGGAGGAGACTGAATGGTTGGAGCTGTAGCATCTGCCTGTGAATCCTCTTTTTTTTGGGCCATTGAACCCTGGTTACAGCCCGATTGAAGGCTGATGAAGACATTTTCTGAATCCATCCAAAATAAAATGTAATTCTATAACTAAAATATCCTGAACCTCCCCACTCAGTTTGATCTGCTCTGAAACTTTTATTATACAGTGGTTTGAAAAGTGCATGTTTGTCACAGTTGCAGGTTTCAGATCATCAAACAAATTTAAATATTAGATAAAGAAAACACAAGTAAACACAAAATGCAGTTTCTAAATTAAGGTGTTTATTATTAATGGGGAAAAAATCCAAACCTGCACGGGCCTGTGTGCAAAAAGTGATAACTGGTAATCTAATAACTGGTTGGGCCAGCAAAAACAGCAATAAAGCAGCAACAACTGCAATCAAGCATTCACAATAACTGGCAATGAGTCTTTGACAGCGCTGTGGAGGAATGTTGGCCCTCTCATCTTTGCAGAATTGTTGTAATTCAGTCACATTGGAGGGTTTTCGAGCATGAGCCGCCTTTTTAGGGTCCTGCCACAGCATCTCAATCGGATTCAGGTCAGGACTCATTTTACTTTGCTTAAGCCATTCAGAGGTGGTATTGCTGGCGTGTTTTGGGTCACTGTCCTACTGCAGAACCCAAGTGCACTTCAGCTTGAGGTCACAAACAGATGGCCGGACAGTTGTAGGATGGTTTGGTAGACGACAGAATTCATGGCTCCATTTCCAACAGCCAGTCTTCCTCCTGAGGCGGATTAGCAGCTCCAGCCCATCACACTACCGCTGTGACCCTTTCCAGACTGAAAGCTGTCAGTGTCTTTGTTTCTCAGGTGGTTCTTCGAGTCGTAGCATGATGTCTTGCTTTTTGAGATCTTTTAGCCTGCTCCACTTTTGTTTGTTTGTTTTTTAACTGAACTGTGGTTAATCACAGTTAATTCCTGATTTAACAACAGGGGCGATTACTTTTTCACACAGGAACTGGTAGGTTTGGATAACTTTTCTCCCTTAATCAGTGAAATCACCATTTTAAAAACAGTGTTTTATACTTACTCGGGCTGTTTTTGCCTAATATTAAAATGTGTTTGATGATCCAAAACATGTAAGTATAACAAATATGCAAAACACTGGGAAATCAGGAAGGGGGGCAAAGACTTTTTCACACCACTGTATCTCTGACGATAGGGTAGGGAAAGAAAAGTCACATAGATGGATATTAGACCGTTTCTGGCATCATGGATTCAGCAGGTGTGTTTATGCAGTGCGTGTTTTATTGAAGTTATTTTTTCTTTTTTAGAATATGAGAAGTCTTCCCTTTGATGTCTCCGTACCATAAAACACTAACATTTAAAACAAAATGTTTTTCTTGATGTCAGAATGAACAAATACTGTTTGTCGGTGTATTTATTGCCAGGTGTAACATAATGAGATAGAGATGGGAGCGCAGTTGGTAACTGAACGGTCACGTTTTAAACTCATCAGACGGATTTCGTGTTATTAAAGTTGTCTGATGAGTTTGCCGAGTGACTCGACAGCTCAGGCTCTCCCATCTCTAGTGCTATTTGTTCCAAATTAGAACATTTCTGAGGCTACCCGTTTGTCCACCTTGGTACTCTCAATTAAAGGGTTAAAATATATAGATATATAATAATAATAATAATAAAGTCTGATTTTTTTTTAAAGTGTCCTTTTTCTAGGAACCGATTTGAAGCCATTATACAATTTTGAATACTTTATATATGGCAAATGATTTGAGACGTGCCACACTGTTTTCTTTATTGTGTTTTAATTTGGACCCAGCTGTATATTTGAAGAAAAAAAAAAAGCATCTGTAGTGTTTTTTTTTCCTGCCTATATGCTAAAGCCACAATACAGAAACCTAGAATCTACAGTGTAAATGTCTATTCCTTTAGTAACTAGCATGACTGGAACCTCTTTTCGTGGTTTCACCAATAAAGGAGAATATTTCGCTGGTGAGACCGAAAACATGAAATAGTCCACTTTTAGAAACATTTGGAAGAAAATAAACAAGTTGCTTAATGATGTTGTGAACGGCTGTCTTTATTTAAGCATGCGCTACATTTTTTTTTTTCACCAGCTGAGGTAGGCTGCCCTCTGGTGGCGGAACGGTGGAAATGAAAATGTAAAACCAAAAACTGGAATGCGCACCACTGGCCAATTTATTAGGTACCCCTGTTCCCTTCAAATCTGCCTTCATTCTTGGCGTAGATGTTGAAAACAAAACAGTGATTTTGGTCCACGTTGGCAGGATAGGATGACACAGTTTCTGCACATTTTATGGTGAAAAATGGACATGTAACTAAAGTTTATTTATATAGCACCTTTCACAGACATATGTCACAAAGTGCTTTACAAGGTAAAAACATAATACAGTCATAAAATACATCATAAAAACCCTGGTCTGCAACAATACTCACACAGGCTTTTAAATGTGGCATTTAAATGATGCTCATAGCATATAGGTTGTGCTGGATCAGGTGACCCATGATGCACTGAGTGTTTCTTCTTCAGTCACCTTTCTCAATAAATCTCTGTCTCTCTTCCACAGCATGTCTTTATCCTGTCTTCCTTCTCTCTCCCCAACCAATCACAGCAGATGGCCCCGCCCCTCCCTGAGCCTTCTGCTGGAGGTTTCTTCCTGTTAAAAGGGAGTTTTTCCTTCCCACTGTCCTACTTGCTCATAGGGTGTCATGTGATTGTTGGGTTTTTCTCTGTATGTATTATGATGGGGTCTACCTTACAATATAAAGCGCCTTGAGACTGTTGTTGTGATTTGGCGCTGTATAATATAATTGTATGTTCAGAGATGCTCTTCTGCATACCTTGGTTGTAATGACTGGTTATTTGAGTTAGTGTAGCCTTCCTATCATCTCAAAGCATTCTCCTCTGACCTCTGGCATCAACTATGTATTTTTGCCAAGAGATCTGCTGCTCACCTTCTTTCCCATTTAACTTCACCAGGTCATCATGACTACATCTATCTGCCTAAATGCGCTGGGTTGCTGCTATGCGATTGATTAGATATTTGCGTCAATAAGCAGTTGAATGGGTGGACTGAAGAAGTGGGGGAGTATCATTTTCACTGCTAAAACCGATTAGTGGAAAAGGTATCTGCTCATCTGTCTGTATCCTGGCCTCTGTTCATAAACATTTGACTGGTGGAGATAAGGAGGAACATGAGCTGGTGTGTAAAGGGTGGGAGAAATCTAAGAAGCAACACCTTCTCTCTTCACACAGACCCCATTTTCAGCTATGAAGAGCAGGTGACGAGAACTTTTCTTACACCTAAACCAAAGCACAGAGTAGTCTAAGGCAGTTTTATACAGAAGTGCTAAAAAAAACGGAAATCTACACTTGCAAACTGTCCAGTGTTAGTTGTGGTTGATCTGTGTGTGTTTCTTGCAGTGCAAGGACATAAAAGGTGCTTAAAAGTAAGCTGGTGGTGCAGCGGTTAGCACTGTGGCCTCACACCCAGGTTTTGCTTGTTCATCCTGTGTCTCTTTTCTCAGAGTACTTAGATTCACTCAAAAGATGCTATTTTTTATTTTTATAGTTGTTTTTATGTGCGGATGTAGGAAAGTTGTCACTGTGTTTACTGATGACCTGCCCAGGCTGTAACCTTCCGCTCTTCCAAAAAGCAGTTTTTCATCCTTTTAACTATTAGTGTTCTGCGTGTGTGTGTTCCCACTGCAGGAACAGCCACTCAGAGGTACCCAACCCAGAGGAAGTACTTCGCGCTGCTTTCTTTGGTGAACTTTTGACTCTTTTAAACTTACGGCCATAAAAAGTACCATTTAAAAAAAAATAGAACCAAAGCAAAACCCAGATAAAGAACAGCTGAAGTCAGTTTTTCTTTTCTTCTTTATTGGGCTTCTTAGACCAGTGACAGTGAATCAGGAAATTATTGTTTTAATGTTTGCTGCTCTGGGTGCAGAAGCGGATGAGAAGATGGGTGGTGACATGAGGGGGGGAAAGCAGCAGAAATGTCTTGCAACACTACCTCAGCGTTATCAGAGTAAAATGTAAAAAACAAACAAAAGAAAAAACGCTGTTTAAACCACAAAAAATATACAGCATGTGTCTGTTCAAGTCTTTCAATACGACAGTCCCACAGCATATTCAACCACCTTAAGATTTTATTACACTGCTCTCAGCAGAACAATGAGAATGTGGAGAAGAGAACACAAAGTGAAGGGAGGTGTATTCAGGAAAACCAATAAAGGTGACAGAATAAAGGAAGGAACACAAGACCCAACCTTAGATCCACTCAAAGGCTGAATGAAACTGGAACATTTCACCATCCCACAATTAGTGAGAGTGCATGTATGACAGCAGAAAAAAAAATCTTATTTCCTGATAAATTTCCAGAAAAAAACTAATAAAAACAATGACTGGACAGTGTTTCTCATAAGCTCCTGGAACTGGGCACTGCGAGTACCTATCCTCTACATATTTGCTAATTTGTTAACCTTCCTATCACCTCCCATAACAAAACTGTCCAGACCTCACTTTATCTTTAAAGTCCATTTACCTACACGCTTTCTTTCACAACCCTGCACCTCTCTATCAGAGGTTAAGTCATGAAGCAGCTCCGCTTTTCCTGTTTTGCTCCAGGATAACAAGATCCTGGTTGTTTTTATTCGCCCCAGTTGTGGCTCTGCACAAGCTCAGTTCACAGACTTATCACGTTCTCATCTCATCCATGCGCCACGGTTCATAGGCATACCAGGCGGAGGGGGCAAGGGCACCTGTGACTGTCCTGGAGGCACTGGAGGTGGAGGAGGGTACCCAGTGGGTGGAAGGGCCATCCCTGGTGGAGGCACGTGGCCTGGTGGCATGCGTGGAGGCGGTGGCGGGGGGTAGTTGTTGTAGACCGGTGGTGGATAGGATGGTGGCAAGCTGGGTGGTGGGTATGTGGAGGGAGGAGGTGGTGGCCCAGGAGGAGGTGCTGAAGGTGGTGGATAGACGTGATACATTGGGGGTGCGTAGCTGGGCGGCATGGAGTAGGAGGGACCCTCAGTCTTCATCATGGACTGTAGGCTCTGGTAGCCTTCACCAGACATATAAGAGCTCGTTGTGGACATCAAGTAGTTGGAAGGTGGTGGAGGAGGAGGGCGGTGGGGCAGCGGAGGAGGCTGGTGTGGAGGTGGAGCCTGTGGGGGAGGAGGAGCTGTTTCATTTCCTGGTTCTGCTTCTGCGGGAGGAGCTGGAGTGAAAGGACAAAGTAAAGAGAAACGACTTGTTAATAAAAATCAGCTTCCCTACTGCAAAGATCTAAAATGAAGCTCTCAGACAGTGAGCACACGGGCAGACCAAAACTACCAGGCTTAGCCACATAGGAGGTCTCATTATGAGGCTCAAGCACTAATCAGATTGGTCTGGGATAGGTTAGGGGTATGCGTGTCTTGGGAAATAATGTCCAGACGAGATGTGGTTACGTAAGCAGACTGAAAGGACTAACGACTGTGGGCTGCTTCTAAGCTCGAGCTGCAGGCAGGGGGTCCTGGCTGCTCATTATTGGTTGCTGTGGTGGCGCACGCAAACAGAGTATTAAGAGGACGCCAGCACGTAACGATATTTTGATCCAGCTCTAAATCATCTGAACTTCCTGGACAGTGTAAAGAATGCAGATGACGTAAGCTACAGAGTCACGCTTACCTGGGGGAGGCTGCGTTGTGGGTAGTGGAGGCATGGGGCTCTCCAGTCGAGGAATCTTTGATCCAACTTGTTCTGTGAATTAAATAGAAGCTTTTTAAGACAAAACAAAACTGTAACTGCGTAAGCAAATGCTTCTGTGCTCCTGGATAATGATAAAAACCTCAACCCTGCCAGGAAAATCTAACTGCCGTCTTTCATCTTTCTCTAAACTGCTCTTCGTTGACATTAATTTGTTGCTTTCTTGGAGACATTTCAGTTTAATTTCATCAGATTTTAACAGCTTTAAAATCTGCCTAATCATTAATAAACATGTTACCTGGAGCCTTTGGTTCATCTTTGGGGGACGTCTGTAACACAGAGGAAATAAATTATGAGCCCCGTGCATGAATCATGTTAAACACGAGTTGTACAGCACAGGCTGAATGTATACATACATGTGAGCGTTTAAGCTGGCGTGACGGGCTACCACCCTGAGGGGAAGTCTTTTTTGGTGGTGGGGGAGGAGGGTTAGCGGCTGGCGGTTGTCCCTGTGGAGCTGGAGGAGCAGAGATCGGAGCAGCAGGTGCCCTCTCCTTCTCCTGCATCTGCTGAGGGATGGGTTTGTTTCCCTGAGAGTACAGGTCCAGGATCTGGTGGCAAATGTCTGGAAGGCAAAGACATGTTTTTTTTGGTAAAGACAAAAAAAAAAAAATACAAAGGAAGAGGCTTTAAGTGGAACGCCTTTATGCTGAGTACCTTCAAGTAGCTCCACTGGAACGTCCTGGACAAACTGCTCCCACCAGCGGCGTGTAGACTGCTTGTTGGTCCATTCCTGGATGTCGAATTTGCACAGGCGGCCAGCCAGGTACATGACAGCGACCGCGATGATCTCCGGCTCCCACTGCAGAGACAGCATGGTGCACAGGCTGCAAACAACACGAGCGGTGGTTTGAGTTTTTGCCCGTTGAAGCACCAGGTTATTGTGACATCACCATATAACTTTGCATTCCTTACAAATGAAAACTAACCAGGCTGTAAAACCTGACGCACAAAATCCTCACCTGTCGTTGACAAAGGTCCAAGCCATTTGCAGCACCTTGCACACTTTATTCTTCTCCCCTGTAACGTGAAACAGGTCAGAGTTTGCCCACAGGACCATCATTTCTCACGCTCTGTGGAGCTGATGTCATACTTATCCTATCTCACCTTTGAGCTGCTTGACATAGCGCAGCAGGAACATGTAGGGGTGCTCCACCTGCAGGTCAAACTTGATCGTCTGGAGCAAAATTCTCTCCAACACCATCACCTCTTCCTGTTAAAACAAGCAGGCTAATTAAAGGCTTACTGCTGTGTCAGAGTATCGTTCTTCCAAAAAACACCCTGCTCGTAAATGTGGAGGCAGTCTCTAAAAACGCTGTAGGTGCTGGAAATCCTGCACATGTTAAAAACATGAAAGCTCACAACTAGATTGCATGTGTGGTCGTTTTCTCTGGATGTCGCCGTTCGTTGTGGCAATGAATGACAAAAATTCTCCTTTTAAAAAATGTAACAATAATATTGTCTTTTGGAAAAATCCTAATTTTAGTGGCTTAACAAGACAAGTTCCCATTACCTTTACTTCCAATTAGTAACGATTAGCTATTCGACTCTCATCTGGCTTAACTTTTCATTTAAAAACACTTAAGTAAGAAAGAAGCTGATGTACAATTCTGACTTAATGACAGTAGTTAAGCTACCGGTACTAAAAACTGGTGAGAAAAGCCAGGACACTGATGGTGGCTTATAACTAAAAGGCTGATATCCAAATACCACTGATGTATTTGGTATGACTGCAAATGATTGACAGTAAAAGCCCTCTATAAGTTAAAGCTATTGGACTAAAGGCTTCAGCTCAACTGAGAAAAGCACTCAGGCTCAGGGCATCATGTTTTGGGAGAAACTGGCTAATTCTAGCATGATGCTAAATAAGCTAAAGAGCGACTTGGAAAGCAAAGAAGCCGTCTGTAAGATGCTTGTGCCGCCTCATGTGAGTGCTGTAAATGTGTCTAACAAAGTGACAAGTTATAAGCCAGGGCCAGATGTCACAGATCTATCAGCTCTATCAAAAGTACTCAAGGTCAAGTTAAGTGAAACAGAGGCTACTTCATGCTAATAGATATTTTAGCTCGCCAACTGGTAAGAGGTAAAAGAAAATCTTGAATGTTGAGAGGGAGTTCTTTGTTTTTAATAGCAAAGACGTGAAGCGGCATAATGACATAATCATGTTCCACTGCATTTACAGCTTGTTCTTGTTTGGTTTTGACCCCGTGAGAGCTGCTGGTTTGATTACTGTCTCTGAGTCAGGGCACATAAAGCTGTGTTGAGTGACGCTCTGATGACCTCGCTGATGTGTTTAAAGAATGAGTCATGGCTCACTGTGGTATTACACACCTAATGTACCAGCTTGAAACTAAAGAAATGTAAGCGTGTTTGAGCAAAGCTTTGTATGCAAGTGAACACAGACAGTTATTCTAATAAAAGCGAGGAATAAAAGTTTGTTTGTACTGCAAGCCTGCTTCACTTACAGGCAGCTAAGGTAAATAAAAGCCCTGATCACTAAAAAAATAAGTAAGGAACTTTTTAGGTTATTGGAAACTTCAGTTTTACCAGGACCTCATTTATTCTGCCTGTATCAGTGAGCGCTGTTACACACCACCTGTTTTTAAACAGGTATTCACACCCATTCTGCTTCTGCAATCACAAGTGAAAAACCTCTCAAAACAAAGGTCAATACAAGGAACTGCACCTTGGGATCATCTCCAAACTGGGCAAACTGCACATCATTCAGGAGGCTGCGGGCAGTTTTAATGATATCTTTGCACTTCTTTGGGGTTTCCTCCACTTTACCAGCCAAGAAAAGACAACAAGCTCCCGTCACCTGTCGAGACACATATCACACCATTACTTCACCATTACAAACATCAGGTCTGCTTCCAGGAGCGAAACAAACAGAGACCATTATCAGATTGACTTACATATCTGGGAAACTGCTTGAAGGAGTGAAACATGTAGAAGCGGTGGAAATATATGATGCCCGTTGCCAGTGTGTCATAGTGTCTGAATGCAGGTCAAGGACTCACAAAGACTATTAACGGTTTGCAAAATATCAGCTTTAACATGTGACTCTTTAAATTAAAAAAATATATTTTAATAATGCTTCCACAAACATCATTATATATAAGTATATCAGACAGACCCTGCAAAAATGTTCACATTCACATCAAAGTAGGTTCTGTGAGAAAGGACAAGACAGCCATAAAAGGCGTTTTCAGATGTATTGCTTTTTAAAAGTCTGTTTATCTTTAACTATAAAACTGAAGCATGTGGCACTGATTAATCTTGTGACCCTTTCTCGTGTAGCTGTAGCAATGAATCTATCATCTAAATCAAGGATACAAGCCAAGTCGGGTCCCCACGTCGAATATGAAGCGAGCCCCTTCTCTGCGATACCGGGCCTCTGTGCCAGGGTCCAGACCCTCAGACTGAGAGGGCGTGTGGGCTAAATCCTTCTTGTCCCAGTACCAGCATGGTTTTATATGGTCCAAGATTGCCTGGCCCGTCATTGACGAGTTTTCCTTGGATTCCTTCATTGATTGAGGAGAGGCGGTGGATGGACCCGCTGTGCTGGACTGCTGAGATAAAAATAAAAAGGATCATCACTAAGGGCAGCAAAGCATTAAATAGCATAGCTCACACGAGTAGATATTTACGTTCAGGCAAAGAGTACCACAAATCCTGTCTCTTTCTTAAAAAAGGATCTGTCTATAACCTGGCCACCAGTGTATTCTGTGAGGGCCATAGCGCAGTTTTATAAACACACTCAGGCTTATAAAAAGTGTAATTAGCTTGTAGTCCACGGTGTGAGACGCTAAAGAGCAGTAAACATTTCTGAGCTACACTGAGCTCCAAGTCCAGGCTCGTTGTAAACAAATCGATGATTAAAATGGATTCAGATAGCAACATAATATATCTCTATAATTTTCACGGATCTGTGAATGTCGGCTCCCAGTGTGCATACAGCAGCACAGCAGAATCAACAGTCGAGTTTAGACACAGCGAATAATGCTTTGCAACGAACCCGCTACTGCTGGCACTGTTAGCTGTGATGGTAACTTAGCTTCGTAAAACTAAAAAAGCAGCTAGGGGCGGAGATTAGGGTAACACGAGCCACACACTCGAAGCGGCTTAAACGCACCGACAGGCTAACATCTATGAAACACTCAAGCTGAGGGCAACCAACGCCGTCACATCAACAGGGCCACTCTGCACCAGCCTCGGCTAGCTAAACCTCGGCTAGCAAACTTGCTCCACTCGGTGTAACGCCGAAGCTTCCGACATGTCACAAGTAGTTCAGAATTCAGCCTCTTCATCTCCCCGCCGCTTCCAACGAGACACAACTCTTACCTTTAACATGTAGACGTCCGAATAAATCGCCTGAATCAGGCAGTTGTAGCAATAATCCACAGTTGATCACAATAAGTTGGCTAACAAGTGAACAACAGACCCCATTGTAACAAGGGCACCACCATTTTGCGGTACGTCAGACCGTTGGATGACGTCATCACGCAGGCACTGAGGTACACGTGCTCTCGGGTCACATTTTTCTTTCCATTTCCACTGCTAAATTAATTTCATTCGTGTTTTGAGTCTATCCAGCGCTGCTGGAAACAGCCCGCCTTTCCTGAAAACATTTTAAATTCTTATATTCTTGATAATAATCTAAAGGATGATATTCCCAATAATATCCACTAGAGGGAGACACAGAATCTCTCTTGGACTTTGGCGGTCAGCATTGACTTAGCATTGACCAAATAGTTTACATGTGCAAATTACAAGCAAGCAAGCAAATATTATTTACATTGTGCTGAATAGTCACCGGTTATTTTCACACCTGGTGAGTCCTGCAGCAGGTAACACCCAAACATAGAAATATGCTCCTCACAAGAAATATCACTGAATGTAGCAGTAGCAGGATGTATAAGGAACCCAACCAAACAAGTATGAGTTGTGACCAGTATAAATGCGAATCTGCAGGTAAGTTAAAAATTAAATTAAAAAGAAAAAATGACAAGGTTAAACACGTATAATACATAAACTGAAGCAGATTTTCCTTTGATACCTATAGATCTTTATACATCTGTATATGTTACAAACATACTTCTGATGCACAACTGGATCTAAGAGTAGATGAGTTTTGCCGGTGTTTGCCTGAGAGTGCACATACTAAAGAACACTGAGCCAAAATCTACTCTGTCTGACTCCCTAAATAAACATCACTGGTTTATTTTACTGATTAAACACAAGAAAATCTCTCATTCTTTTACCTCAGTGCCGGCGTTATCTTCTATATTACTCGTGAGTTATTTATATCTAATCAAACAATACGTACACGTTTAAAATTAACTTAAATATTGGTTTTGAGCTGTATGCACAGGATGACGATGATATTAATTAATACGCAAAACAATATATGCACATGAGATTCAAACTGCAAATAATTATCATGTATTATCTGTCGCTATGGCTTCTGAGTTTAAACATGAAGGTTGTGAAACAGGACAGATTAGGAAAGTTTACCACCTCATCCTGCTGCAAAGGAGAAGGCGAGAAAAAGGACTGATTAGGACAAAAAAAAGATGTTTTTTGTGGTGTTTATTGGTAATGGAACTTGCTATCATATTGACCAAAAAGGAATTTTAAGCAGGAAAATGAAAATATTAGAAAAGTAATTTTGCTTTAGGCTCCTGTTGTTGACACGTGAAAGGTGCAGCATCATCTGTGCTTGTTTAAATGTCACTGCATAAGAGCGGGGCTTGCAAGTAACATCTTGTGCCCTCTGCATCCCCCTCCCGCCCAGTCTCACTTCTGAGAAAAGCCAGCATTGAATCATTTACTCCGTCCAAATTAGAATTTGGAATCTGCATGCATTATATATTCACCCCTGCTCGGACAAATCCTCTTAACTGTGGGAGAAATTGTCAGGATGTGTCCTGTAGAAAAGTAAGAGCCTTGTCTAGTTGTATTGCCTGTAGCAAGGGAGCATCTCAATCTGTCACTCAAATCCACACACACACACACACACACACCAGCCACCGTAAATCAGCTTATGAATAATATATACTTATACTTTCTTTATTAATATTAAACATTGCATAATGAAGCGCCGACTATAAGCAAATCCCAGAGCAATATTCATATTACCCCAGCTCTCCTGGAGTGGACCTTTCATTGTTTATGTCAGCTCTGTCACGCTGTGGTTAAACGCATTGAAGCGACTGCCTCCAAAGGTCTGCACGCTTAACCCTAAAAACTGTATAAAGTCCAGTTTCCGTCATGTACATTAGTCTATTTTAGGACTATATTAATGTCTTTGTTGTATTCTTTGGAGAGTAAATAAATGGGAGGGACATGAAAAATGGAAGACGTAAGGGATGCAATGATGGAGGTGACCCAGAGTCAAAGCCGGGGGAGTCGTGTGTCCACGCAAATGCAAAAGCTCCTAATTTAAAAAAAAAACCTTTGTTATCGGGCTCATTATTTTAATGCTTAACTGTAAGTTACAAACAAGGCAGATCTTTCTAAAGTCAGTAGATTGCATGTCAGCACCGTGGCCCCTTGTAAGTTGGACAAAACTTTCACATCTTGCTTGGATGTTGCCCCGTGGTGTGTTCAGGTACCTCCTCTTGAGCGACCGTACTTAGCATGAGAGATGCATGTCTCCTTAGAGGCAACATTTGGACTTAAAACCTTTCCTGTGTCCACAAGTGGGGTATTTGTGGTATGTTGGCCCCATGCAACCCAGCTTTAAACTGCCTTTGCCCAGAGCCTGCAGTTACAAGCTATAATGGAGACATTGATGTATTATTGAGAAACCCATGGGTAAGGATCAAGGAGCTGCTCGCAGCCGGCAGGGATGGCAAGAGAGAGAGCGAGAGAGAGAGAGCGTGTGTGAACTCAGGATAATGTTTTCCTTCAGCATTCAATATGTCCGCGACTGCTGTTGCTCTCTTGGCCCGACGCGGAGTCGAAGACACTCCGTGTAATATCACATATCGAATTTATGCGCTCCAGTCAAAGCAATATGCTCGACAACATGCTTGGCCTATCTGTGAAAGATAGCTGTTGTGCCGTAGTGTTTCCATGTGGCGTCTGCTGAGGTTACGTCTACTTGAGCCAGAGCTGAGATGACATTTCATTTATATAAATAATTACTGTCCTGAAAGTCCCCTAGGCCTGCCCCGAAGCAATCAAACTTCTAATGCTCTTAAAATTGCCCACCATGTTTTATTAATGGCGGGCTGTAAAATGTATTGCTATGGCTGCACACTTCTCTGCTGATCTACGAGGAAACAGTGTCAACTTTAAACAGCCGTGTGAGGCTATTATTTTTATTCGACAATGTATTTCAAGCAAATTACGGCACGGCACCACTTTGGACTGTATGGTGTGGTGGCATTAGAGCTGTACTAACCTGTATCTCAATGCAGACCCGTACGTGTGCAATTACCTTCCCTTAGTGCTATTAATTGCCTCTCAGTGAACCCGATCTGCTTTTCCAAGGACTCTCTCTCAGACGCTGAACTGTATAAATGGCAAATTAAGGAGGCTTCATTCTAAAAATAGGGATGGAGTTTAGTAATGCTGCATTAAGGTATCACCGCCTAAACAGGTTCTCCAGACTGTGCCAACAGAGGGTACTGTTGCCTCACAACATATTTAAATGATCCCCAACAACAAAGCTACAGCATGGGTTTTCCACCCTCTGACTCAAATGTGAGTAAATACTACATGTATGGTGCCATGTGTCCTGTGCATTGCTTCACCGTTTACACAGCCGACAAAAGCACAGCAACACAAAGGATTAATTGTCTAAATTAAAGGTGACCCTTCATCCAAGTTTGACTTGGACCTGATCGAGGTGTTTGCTGTTCTTGTTTTAAGATCATTTCCATCTGGCGTGCCTGTGAGGCTTCTGTAAGCAAGGATGATGAGGTGGTGGTTTTAATAGGTAAAAGGTGAAATGACCAGATTGATTTACTTCATACTATTTGTGATAGAATTAGCAAAAAGAAAAAAGAAAGTCAAGGTGAATTTTGGCTGCTAACTCGACACTGCTTCCAATAGCCAGACATGAGCGTGTCTGTGAAGTAGCCACTGCTGAGTGATGTTTGCGTCTGAAGCTGGTGGTGGAGCTCTGGGGAGCCACTGCTGGTTGCCCCCCGCAAATTGTCTCTGTGTTGTTTGCCGTTCACACCTCTGTAGTGGCTGATGTCTTGGACGCACTTAAACTTGAATGAGGCAACACCAACCACACACACAAACACACACACACACACACACACACACACACACATGCGGGTCGCCCCAAACAGGGCATGTTTCGTCGTGTGAGCTGCAAAGACGGCTCAATAGGAGACACTGGAGCTTGTTGGAAGGAGGGGAGGGAGGTGTCTCTTGTCCGTCTGCCCGCCTGCGCTCTCTCTCTCTCTCTCTCTCTGTCGCTTTCTCTCCCTCTCTCAATCAACGCGGCTACTGCCACGAGAGCCAAGAGTTGCCGTTTCTGCGCACCGATGCCAAAACGCGCGAGGGGAGTCAGTGCCAAAGGGTCATTGTAGCGCGCCACTGCTGAGATGGAAGGACTGTAGGGAATCCTAAACTAAAGAGCCACCATTTGAACCCAGATGATATAATTATATCATTAAAATTAAAGAAAAGGAGAGGAGTTAAATAGGTGACAACATCCATCACTGGTGGAGTGCTCCGTAGGCTACTTAATCTGTCACCGCGGTCGCTGCAGAAGCGGACAGTCCAGGATTTTTTTTCCTTTCCTTGTCCTATTTGGTTAATCTGCAAAAGCTCACTTTACCGGCGCACTCATTAAGTCATCGGTCGTCTGCAGACGCTTCCTTGCTAAAACTACACTTTTTTGGCGTCCTTAATCCAAGTGTTGCTTCCTCCGAGGCGCAGCAGGACACCGTGGACTGAGCGGTCCTTCATCCTTATCGCGCTGCTGTCCGACTGGTGATCTTTCCAAAAGAAAAAAAAAGAAACAAAAAAAGACGATTTCCAGCTAAAGACTGTGAAAAGCAGCAGGGGAATACAAAAGGGAGCGGGAAGTCGGGGACCTGTGATCCAGAGAGGACCGACACCACGGTCCAAGCCGACTCCAAGTGCCGTTCACCGGGCGATGCCAGAGTAGATGCCGGGGCAATGTCCCGCCGCAAGCAGGTGAACCCGCAGCACTTATCGTTGACGCACAGGGAGACAATACAAGGTGAGGTTAAAATCTTTACACGCTCATCACTTCCTTTATCGTAACATTTACTGCTTTGCAATTTTGTCAATATTATTATTTAGCCCGATTCGGACTTTCGGGCCAATATAAATAAATAAACAACTAAACGTGATTAATAACGCACTTTTCTTTTTAGTAAAACACGAAGACAGCACGTTGTTTTCAGTGATTGCAAAAAATGCGCCGAACAAGAAAAAATAAATAGATCATGTGATATCACTAATGCACAAACAATAAAAAATAGTAGGTATACCGTGCAGCTGCTTATTTAAAACTAAACTTTTAGACTCGATGCGAGTGACTGCATGGCTTCTAAACTATTTTATCATTTGTATC